AAATTATAAATTTTAATTTATTAAATATTAGAATTATTAATAGAAAATAATCGATAATTAAAAAGTAATAAAGTATAAAAATAAAAAAGTATAAAAATAATTTAAAATCATATAATATACTTATGTTATAAAATTGTTTAAATAGTTAATAAAATTATAACTTATAAATTAAAAATAATTATATATTTTTCAAAAGTTTTAATTAAGTTTTAAAAGTAAAGTAAAAGTAAGTAAAAAAAATAAAATTAAAATATCAAAAATAATAATTAAAATTTTTATATTCTCTAAATAATTTTTATATAGTTTGTTATATATTTATATTTATATTTTTTAATAATTTATAAAAATTTTTATAAACTTCTCTTTTTACCTTTACTTTTAATAATACTTTTTAATAATATGTGAATCTTAAATATCGCGCCATTAAATATTTTAAATTTTATTACTATATATTTCTTTAACGATATGAATATGCGCAGAATTGTTAGATATCGAGACAAAATGGTTGCCAGTATGATATTAAAAAACCGATAGAGAAATAATACTGTCAGAAATAATATTCCTTAAAGAAAAATAGCTTTATTTTAATTTTAAATGTCGTATATAATAAGAAAATAATAAATATATCAATTTAAATATAATTATAATAATATATTTCATCTTATATCTTATTTTCGATTAAAAATGGGTGGAGGAGATTTGGTAAGATAATCATAGTTTTAAATTATATTTAAAAATATAACATAAAACATATTATTATTATATAAATAAAAATATAATAATTCTATGCTTTTGTTTAATAAAATTTATAACAGAATTTAAAAAAATCATGGCATCCATCTACTATGAAAAACATAGAAAAAGTTTGGAAAGCAGAACAACAACAATGTCAAGAAAAGAAAAAAATAGCTGAATTAAAAAAAGAAATAGAAATAGAAAAAGATCGAGAAGATATAAAAAAATATGCAATGGAACAAGGTGTGATTGAAAAAAAAGATGACAAAAAATTGGATTGGATGTATAAAGGACCAAATCATTTAATTAATA